AGAGATCTTTAAAAGTGGAATTTAAATGCCCTACACACCCACACACACAGCTTGGTATGCAGCCAAGTGGGAATAGAGAACTTTGTGTTCCTTGGGGGGTGCGGGTGGGGGAAAGGAACATTCTTGGTCCTGGGCCAGACCAGTCAGTGGATTGCTTTAGTTTAGTGAACTTTACTTGGAATTTTGATGTCTCCACTGCTGGCTAACCGGCTCCACACACATTCAGCTGAAGTCACCAGGATGATTTCTCCTCTGGGACCAGTAGGTGGGTACAATCACAACCCTTTGCTCCCCTAGCTTGTGTAGACTTGGAGAAAGTGAAGTGTACTCATTCTTCACGTGTTTGGAATTAGGGCAAAGGACACACAGGTCACATGTTCAAGTCATTGTAAAAACTCTTCCAAGTCTGTAAATTGATGACCACCAGCGTGGCACAAAGAGTACGTGGGTGCATGCCTTTCCTGAGGAGAGCACACTTAGCATGCTCCACCTTCCTTGTGTCTTGCAGCCTGCAATGTGTGGTACCTGAACTCTGTGGAAATGGAGTCCCTCACAGGCCACCAAGCAGTGCAGAAGGCCCTGAGCATCTCTTTGGTCCAGGAACCGCCTCCCATCTCCACGGTCGTCCACTTCAAGGTGTCTGCACAGGGCATCACACTGACGGACAATCAGAGGAAGTGAGTATGGATTTCGAAGACAGGACGGTTTCTGATACATTGGGAGTTAAGACGTGCTGGCTTTTTGCTCAGAGGAAGAAAATGCCTCAAAAAGTGTTGATAATCACTCTTGAAGTAATTTGCCATCACACTCTGTCCTGACTTTTTCCTTGTCATTGAAATGTCCTGGTCACCACTTACAGACTATTGGTGTTAGACCTGAAAGCTTTTCTTGAAAATCAGTGATTTTTTTTTTCACTGTTTTTTGGTACTTTGACTATTTCACATATGTATATATAATTCGCAGATATAAAATTCTTGCAAGTCATTTCCTTAGAATCAACCTGAGACTATAATCATAGTAAATGGATTTTTGCAGTTAGTTTTTTAACTTTTTATTGTGACTTGAATGAAGGTTTACAGACAGGATCATTAGCTTTACATTCAACAAATGATACACTTTATTTCATCTCAGTGATTACAATCTCCTCCCTGCAACAAGAGTTGGAAGTTTTCCTACTTCCACCCTGTGGGTCCCCATTTACATCATATATTTCACAAATTAACAAAGTGAAAGTACTTGATGTACACAAACAAAGCAAAAAATACATATTCATTTAAATGTACAGAGGGCACATTCTGCAAGCCAGGCCTATAGGCACGTAGCCTTACTCATTCCATGGGCCTAGAGTTAGTCAGCAGCTGCTCTTGTCTCTCCATCTCTACTGTAAATATTATTATTTTTAAGTGGTTGCCATTTTGTTTTGTTGTTGTTAAGTGCTGTCGAGTTGTTTCTAACCATAATGACCCCGGTACAGGGTTTCTAAGGAGTGGCTGGTGAGCTAGAACCACCAACCTTGTGGTTCAAACCAGCTTTGCAGTCCAGCTCATTAACCCACAGCGCTACCCCAGGACAGTGGCAGAGATAGCAGTTGAACGCAGAGTCCCGTCTCACACTATTGGTTGTTAAAGGTCTATCAGTAAAATCTGCTCCCGGCTTGCTTTATCTTGGATAGATGGAGAAAACTTTCCCATTATCCAACCCCACCCCCATCCTCCTTGGAGAGCTAC